CCTTCTGCGCCAACTGCTGCGTCTGTTCGCTGCCTCTGTTGGCTGCATTGTGGGAACTGCGCTCTAGGCCTGGCTCTTATATGGGCCTCTGCCTAGCAGTGACTCACAAGGGTGCTTGACCCACCCAATCAGGAGCCACCTGAAACAAAAGCCCCAACTCCCTCTGACCAGGGCAGCCCAGAGAGCTCGTTAGCAGCAGCCCCACCTAGCTAGAACTTCCCAGGAGAAGTGAAGTCAAGGCCCCCTGCAGGAGTCCTTGCCCAGCTCTCCCTTCCTGCTAGCAGCAGGCACTGTCTAGTTCCTCGGGGGTCCCCAGAAAGTCTCCACAACTTCCAACAAGGCCCACAAAAGGCCCAGGCAGAGCCCAGACACTGCTGCGCTGCTGAATTCAATTTCTGAATTCATCAGAAATAATTCATAGTTCAGTATAGAGAAGCCTCTACTGTAATGGCATTATAGATCCATCATCGTGAAACAAAGGAATATCTGTACAAATTCCTTTGGGAACATTTCCAAAAAAATACTGTCATAATTTGCCACAGCTTATAAAGTTACAAATTTGTATGCATACTCTGCCACTTTTATAAGGTGTAAAGATAGATGCTGTTTTACCACACACATATATTTTCATATTTTAATTTTGCTTTTTCTTTTTTGTTTTTAATATGGTGGTAAAAATAGACTGAATTAACTGAAGCAGGACTGTGTGTTCACTTAAGGAAAAATATCCCAGAATGTGGGCTAGCAGCCAATACTGAAACTGTTCCAAGCCTGCTCTGAACTGGAACAAAATTTCCAAGAGCTGGAACAAAACTGCAGAATATTCTGGCTCAATTTTAAAGCCAATTACTACTTTTTTTCCTTGTTTTTATTCTAACAAATTAAGCAGAATAGGTTACATTTTTTATCAAGCAGTCACTCCAAGAATGGACTAGCACTTCCTAGCCAAATTTTTCAACACAGACAAAAATATTTCCTTCAACAGACAATTTCAAATCATAACATTGCTGAAATACTACAATTTGACAAAGAAGTTATCAAGTGATTCCAGGAGACATGTCAAAAGGTTCCTTTTTTCTTTGGAAAAGCTCTCCAAGTTAATGGCAGAATACTGTCCTTATGATATGAGCATTAATTTTACCACATTATTCTTACCTTAAATTTTTGTGCATAATGCTGAACAGTTCCTTAACACTTATCATAACTACTTCAGTATATTTGAAACTGATTACACACCAAAAGGCATAAAATACTTGCATACGTTTAAAAGAATTCCCATTCACCCATCTCAAAGTATTTAATACAGCCTCAGTTTCGTTAAGAGCCATGCCCTCAGACAGTGATAAAACAAACTGAAAAGGTTTTGTGGGTTCCAGCAGTAAGCTTTGTTAATTTTCATGCACAGCACTTCCATTAAAATAATGATTTTTTGAATATAAAGACTATTACAATAGGTTGTTCTGAAAAGGAGGAAGCCATGCCTAACAAGCATTTCTTAAACAGGAAATCAGTTTTCCTAGTCTCCATATTTCTATTCCTATTCTACATATTTCTAAACAAATAATAGCAGAGGAGAGAAGTCCTCCAACCTCCAGTAGACATACTGCAATGCACATACAGTCAAAATCAGCAAAAGTGTTTCTAACACTTCGTACAGCCTCCCATGCAGCTTAATTGTTTTTTTGAGACAAAACAATTACAAAACGTTTACTAGTAGACAGGGACATATCATCAACATTAAGCAAAACCTGAAGCTATTCAGAATTTTTAAAAGCTAAAAAAAGTGAGAACATTTAGAAAGACTGCCACAAGTGTGTCTGTTAGGCAAAAAAAAAAAAGAAGAAGAAGAAGATGACGTTCTGCAACATTTCTTAACCCTCTAGTGTGCTGCGGCGGTGGCTGAAGAGAAGAGTGATCACCAAAAAACTTTACCTCAGATACGCGAGGTGTGTACACCTACAATTGAAAGCTGTCGTCCACCCATTTCACTGCTTATACTGACCCGTTTCCAAAAGCACGTGAGACATTGCCTGATACCATATTGATAATACAAGGACAGAAAACCCTCAGAAGTTTAAACCATGCAATTTACCAAAAGCTTCACATCCTTAAAAGTAAGGATTTAAAAGACTTCCATAGCACAGGAAGCCATCTTAAAATACAAGATACTAGCCAGCATAATATGTAGAGCCTTCCTTTATACTGCGCAAAAGGAGAAGGAGGTCCTGCCAGTTGCTTCCTTTCTCTCCTTGCCTCCCCTATCACTCATAAGCTTCAGCATTTGCTCATTTGACACCTGTGACGAGTTTGGAGGGGGAGGAGGGGGTGGAGCCTGTTTCATTTTGCCATTAGATCAGCAACCTGATTTGACTTAAGGCATAGCTGCATAGTCACTACCACCAAAATGCAAAAAGAGGCCAAGAACACACTTGCTACAGTGGGAGAACACAGTAAGATGATCCCTTTTAAGCACAATGTTAAACCAAGTATGAGGCCACACGCTGATTTTCAGTGGTCTCAAAGTTAAGAGCTTATTTTGACATTGTTCAGTCCACTAGAAAATGAAATCCAAGTACTTCAGTGAAATAACCCCCTTCTTAGGGAAATAAACACATCCCAGAGGAAAGTTCAAGTTTCAGATCTGAGATTTGGGTTTTTTTGTTTGCTTTTGTTTTCATGTTTGATCCTGAAGGAAAAACTATAAAGCGGAATCAGTGAAATTGTCTGCAGACAGAGCCCTGCACCATAAAAAAGAAGTTCATCCAGTCATAATACATTGTAGAATGATTTGAGGTTAATCACAATTAACTCACAGACAAATCCTATTGGGTTTTCATATTTCTTGTGCTCTAATATAACCCAAATAGTAGTAATTTTGTGCAAGTCTGCCAACTTGAGGGCTAAAAACAGATCAACAAGCAATCCTAGTAAGTTCAAGGAGATAATTTATCCTCTTTAAGAGAAGGACATGCATTAGTCTTAGGAGATTGTGAGCAACCTATCATAAATACTCCAAGGACAAACACCTTCTCTTATATACCCACAGAATTGGCATTAATATCCTTTTGGGCTACATAAATACATCTTAAAAGCCTCACCCTCCAACATAATAGAAAAATATTTTTCATAAAATATAAGCCTGTAGATTGACAGCACAAATCAATCCATATTTTCTACAAAGTTGGACCAGTTAGCCACTGTTTAATGAAAGAGTATATTTTTAAAGCTGCCTACATACCAACTTAAGCAAACTTTCCCACAAGTTCGCCTGTTTTAACCTTTACTGCAGTTTTATACACATTTCCACATATTTTCAGATTTTACCAATAATAGAACAATTAAAAATACATTCCCAATAGAACAAGAGCAGCATACCATCGATTCCTGTTTAGTCTTGTATATTACCTACAGCTGAAGATAAGCTATCTTGTTATTCACTTCAACAGGTTTTCAGCAGATGACGCTTTTCTGCTCTCCCTTTTTTTTTTTAGTGGTTATTTTCTGTCCCCCCTTTTTTTTTTTTTTTTTTTTTTTTTTTAAAAGGCAGTAAGTCAGACAAAAAGTCAGTTTGTCGTTTTGAAAAACACTGTTTGGGTCTCACAAGAGGCAAGGCAACAGTATTGTTTACTAGCAAAAGTAGTAATAGCAGGAATTTATTAGGAAATCATTTAATACCTGCCAAGTCATTTTTCTTCATAAGCACTTGTAACAAAATTATGTGATTGAAAAAAAAAAAAGTCTTCATGAGCATTCAAATGTTTAGCGTTCATGGTTTAACAGTTAGGGTTTAAAACAAGAATGTTCTCTTACATGACATCATAGGTTATCCACTATTACTCAAGAGCTGACCACTTGGAAACATCACTCCATTTTAGTTTGCTTCACGAATACTAAAAAACTTTAAAATTAAGTTGACTAGCATTATCACAATAATACAGGCATACAATTTAGCTCCTGGTTTACATGACAAAAAATTTACTTAACATGAAGTCTCCTGTATTTCAGACAAAAAATTAAAAACAAATATGAATACCACTTTGAATGGCTAACACTTAAAAAAAACTGTATTCCTAGAATTCATATCTGAGCTCTTCTTTCTTATTGGCCCAGTGAAATTCTTGCTCGTCTCTTGGTATTATGCTTTCTTTTTCAGAATTTGCCTGAAGCAAGTCACATCATGGCTTCAAATGCCAATTTTCAGACATATTTTTAAAAGTAGTTTCTAGCCAATGAGAGATAGTAACGTTTTCCTCTTGCTCTAGACAAGTTTGGTTCAAACAATGACTATAGGTTCTGCCTAAACACGGACACACACAAATACACCCCTTGAGGTTTTAATTTCTCTCCTAAATATTTTGTAATTTTGCAAATTCTATTAAAAGCCAATCAGAAATACCTTCAATGTAGGGTCACATTTAACAAAATTAAAAGGATTCTCTACTTCACAATAAAGGCAATTAGATGGCCATGTCGATATAATACATTACAGTTAAAACACTTATACTTTTTATTGAAGATATTTCATATTCTTTCAAAAATATTTAGAACTTCTGCCCAGCTTGTTTAAAAGATCTCTAAACTACCAACAAGTTGGGGTGAGGGGAGGAATCTGTAAAAAGATTTCACCCTATCAATTCTTAAGAAACATGGTTTGTTTAACTGATTTACTCAAAAGCAACTATTAAAGCCTGTCAGATTACATGAATTAAAGAGATTGCCTCAAATCAGTTATGAAATTAGGCTATTTTAATGCTGCTATTGAAAGTTTTTGCTGCTGACAAAAGGGAGCTAAGGAATCCTACCAGGGGACAGCCAACTAATTAGATTCAATTTCTCCTCTGAACTGACTTTAATTTGTAAGAATGACACCTCATATATCCATCAAGTCTTAAAACCTACTTTAAAAGAACAAATTTTTTCTAATCCTAAAATCCATATAAGACCTGGCTAGTCACAGTTTACTATATTGCAGGGAAGCAGAGAAAAATGTAAATACTTACTTTGGAAACAGAGGCTCATAAAGATACTTGTCTGCTGCTGATGGAATTTCAAAAAATAAGATGTATCCATTTGCAGTCTGAAACAGAAACGCTGATAAAATATATATCTAAGCTATCTGTGTATATAAAACTTACACAGACTCTTACGATTTTTATACAACTCTCCAATACATTGCAGACAAACATACACTCATACCAGCTCTGGATATATTAAAAACTTGTCTCTTGAAATTCATTGTTGATAAAATCCATACTACCCTTTAACAGAACCCACTGTACAGATCACTCAGGAGGGAGAAAATAGGAAAAAACAGTTAGATGTATGCACACAGATTGGATTTTTTCTGATTTACATTGATTTAAATACATTTTTAAAAGACAGCTAGTCTCAGATAGTCAAAAATGTAGGCACCTAATTCCCGGTAAAAGAGCAAGTTACTGCAGAAGGCATCTAACAGAATATAGCGAGCATTCACAGTAAATCCAAACGCTGATAGACACTATAGAGTACAGAGGAGCTAGGCACTGACTCTCAGTCATCCAGACAGGCTTTAAAAAATCCTAACATCACCTAGTGCCATTAGGTATCACAACACACTTAACCTGCCTATGTCTGGAAAATTTTTTATCACTCAAGCCCAAGTCATATTCTGTTATTCTGGAAGAGTGATTTCAAATTATAACACTATCTGAAGAACAAATGCAAATCATTTAGTTATCAGATGTTCCAGTCCGGACTAGAAGCTGACCCAGGATTTGTATAAATACAGGAGAGCCAGGTGACCAATAAAGTTAGGTGTCCAAAATTAGGAGGTACTATTTTTTTAAGCATAAGTTTATCCTTCAGACAAACTGGCAAATGCATACCAGTTAAACAGTGTTTCTGTCCAGTCATTTTAATAGGGGCTAGGCATGCACCCAAAGCACTATGAAGACAAGCAGCAGTGAAACGAATGGTTTCAAGTTGCTTTGTAGGGTTGGTTTCCCTTTCTTCCAATAAAGGAAGGAGAAACACTCGTTACGTTAGTTTAGCAGTTCAGGGGGGCATTTTTTCCCCCCACCCAATCAATTTGCTTCGTAACGAAATAAATTTAGCGTTTCAACTTCAAACAAGCTCCAGGAACGCACTTTAAAAAACACAGTTCTCATTCAAAGCAAATATCTTTCTTGTGCAAGAATAAGATATGTACCATAGTGTTGATCTTGAGACAGACTGAAAAAAAAGTGGGAGCTTTTCCCTATCCGGTAAAATAATGTTCAGGTATTATGTAATAAAGAAGCATACACTCATTTCTAACATCTGTACAGGTACTCTCCATTACATCATTAAATATTTAACCCGTAAGTTATCTTATACTGGAAGGAGAAGTAAAGCAATACTGTGAAGTATCTTTATACTGATATTAAGATACAAAAGACCTTCACAAACTCTATCTAAAGTAGAAGTTGCTATTGTTACAGGTTCATTTTTGAGCAGAGCCTCAAATTCCATGAATAGTTATTTGAATTGTAAAAAGCATTCTACCATGCTCTTGCTGCAAACTGATTATACGCATTCAGTTAAGTTTCTACACTGCTTTAGAAATGTCTGTCTTCCAAAGAAACTTTACTAAAGTTACCATCACTGTCATCTGTTCCCTGATTGTTCTCAGACGGTCATCGAGATGGCATCTTCTTGCCAAAGCATAACCATCCATTGCCTCACAAGTGATTTCATTGTATGGTTTCTCATACGCTATGATGTTTAATAATGCTCCAATTTAGCTATGGAAATGGATTTAGAAGAGTAGACTATTAGAAGACTGACTGCAGCAGTGGAATGGAAGGACTCAAACCTCTTAACACTCTTTTCTACAATGAAGCACCTCCATCCAGTTTACAAGTTTATTTAACTACTAGAATCAGCTACCATGGGTGAATATGCCAGTCCAACAAGGAACAAAGTATTTCCCAGTAACACTGGAAAAATTACAAAAAGAGCAAGATGAGAAAAGAAACTGCAAAATATCAGGAAAAAAAAGACGACAGTTCAGAAAGTGACTAGGATGAGATTCTACCAAAAAAATCACAAAATCTAAAATGATGTTAGTCCAAAGGAAGACATCAGTTTAGGTATGTTCCAACAGTTTAGCAAGACAAGACAAGAGTAGTAGAAAAAGCTGTAATGGCTAGAGGATGGGTATGGTGCAAAAATTATTTAAGCTTGTTTAATCATGTACCATTAAAGCTACCTGAGATTTTTTTAGAAAACCTTACAAGCTAAACCAAGGTTTGCTTTCAGTACAAATAATTATTACCTCAGAAGGTCTGCTGTACAGTGATTTATTTTCATAAAGATGCTCTGAACACTTCGATAGTGAGAAAGAAATAAAGAAAACATTGCAGATCACTGTTCTAGTGGACATTAAATCAAGACTACCCTCATAATTATGTCATTAAAAAAAAAAAATTAGTTCATTAGCCAAGTGGTACATTTCTTATGTAAATACTAACTTGTTTGTTCACCTTCTTAAAAAAGAAAAGTTCAACATTTTTATCATTACGTAAAACTACTCAGTCAAAAAATTCAGCCAAGAAACAGCTAAGAAACAGAACCACCTCCCTCAGCTTTCAAATTAAGATATTCAGGTACTGCCTAGGACTTCAGCAATTAACTTCAACATAACCAGCAACATAAAATATTCAAATTTTATAAATAAATAGCTCAACTTGATATTGTTCTATCATTTTTGTTCACTCGTTTTCTCCTTAAGAAAAAGTCACAAAGAAGGGAAAAAAAACGTTTATTCTCTAAGAAAAAAGGTTCTTCCTTTCTCTCTATAAAAGAAATACCAGTATTTTTAAATCTAGTCCTTTGGTAGGACTCAGTATCTAATTAAAACTAAACCTTGGACAGATTCCAAAAGCTTATTACAAAATCTTGGAAAAAATCAAGAAAGGTGGTGTTCAAGCTAACATCACATGTTTGAATATATAATTACACATGGGAGATGCTATATAAGCATCAGAAACAAAGGATACTAGTAACCTCATGCAGCTCAGTATTTTGACAACCATTTGATCATTTTGAAATTTAGTTTGTGAAGTTTACAAACTCAAACTTCAAGATAAGGGCCGTTAAGAGTCCAACATCATCTGCCATAAAGAGCACCAAGCTAAATAACACTAAATAACCAGATGAAATTAAAGCTAGTTTGACTCTCAGCTGCAGTGGAAGGTCTCTTAAACAAATGGATCCCCACATCACAGAGAAAACAATATACACCCTAATTCAATATAAGAAACTCTGTCTCTTCCGAACTGCTTTATATGAGCGTAGTTAAAATGTGCTTAGATAGTTTATTTGTGATTACATGCTGCATTATAAAATAGAAGAATGCTTTGATTATTCGTGACAATTCTTACAAGAGTCTGTTTTGCCTTCGCTGGTAATTATTAGAATTTATGGTCTCAAGATATAATCTGACAGCAATAGGAGTGGATTCACCAGGTCCTTTTAGGTGTTTTAAACATTATAAACCAGCTACGCAGTGAAGTCTACTCCAGGATTACACACAAGAAAACTGGAGCACAGGAAGTTCAGCTGATTCACATAGTCATGAAGACAACTGTAGAAACAGGAACTATTCCATAAATCATCTGAGGTGTTTTCCGCTAAGATAACAAGGTCTGTGTGGTTAAAAGGCACTATACAAGGCACGACAGGCATCCTTTGAAGTACATAAGACTGTTTATATTAGGACACTAAGTCACTGTGCCAACAAATGCAGCAATTATTATCCAATTTGTAATTCCACATACCGAACTTTTGATGAGGAATTTTAATGATTTCATTCTTCTTTTCTACACCTTCTCACAAGAAAACTTTACATATAACAGCCTTGATTTAAAAGGCTGTAGAAAGGAATATATCTAAATTAAGACCTGGGCCTTGAACAAACCAACAGTCACCACAGGCATCATTCCACATTCTGACTCCTAAATTCTCAACTACTCCTACCTTTGCTGTGAGGACCGTGCTCCTCCAATTCATTTTCTAAATGCTGATGCTGAAACCGTTCACTTCACTGCTGTAAGCACAGCATTAGCCACTGACCATCATCCCACAGATTTTGTTTGCATATGTAAAACAAGACTTCATCTATTCCTTTCAGAGCCTTAACAGAAGTTAGGGTCTATGTATCACCCACGACAGTGATCACTGCCTTTGCTTCTGTGTTCTCAGTGCCCAGCTATTGTTTTTTGTTGATTTAAAACGAAAAACAAAAAAGCAACAAAACATACCACTTTCACACCTTAATAAAGCCATAGTTTCAACCTCTGTAGATTCACCTTTCTGGAAGACACGTAAACCCTTATTATTTGTCAAGCTAAACATGCTCATGTCACCTAATTCCACCTCAACTATTTCTTTCATTCACGTGTCTGTTCTTTAAACTCCCTACAGAAAAGATCCTATTTATTCTTCATGAACAAATTATTAAAGTAACGAGATGGCTAGGTCAACCCTAGCCAGTGCATCGGAATATTGCTTTAGAAAGGAGAACTGCAATTCTTCAGGGAAAAACTAAAGTTTTCTTAAGCGACTTTCATTCGGTCATCGTAAAAAACAGGATACTATTATATATATATATGTGTGTGAGATATATAACAGTTAAATGTATACGCAGTCTGCAGGTCTCTGCATGAAAACATAGATAGCACAAGAATCTCTTTACAATAGCTTAACCACAACACAAATTAAAACAAAACGCTACTTACTGAAACAGCTATCATGGTGCTGTCAGGCCGCCATTCTGCTTGTTCATAAGGTCCAAACTGAGAAGCCGATTTTGAATGTTCCTTGTAGCTTACGATTAATACACTGGGCTGGAGAAAAAACAACAACAGTAATTTTATGTCACGTCTAGAAGGAAAGGGATTTTTGTTATCTTGTGATACAACTGCAAACAATTACGTTTCTTTAATAACAAAACATATTTCCATTAAAAAACACAGGTTCAAGAAATTATTACTGTATATTTGACAATGCATTACACAAAATGCTTTTAAAGAGAGATTACGCAGAACACCTGTGACAGTGCCAGTCTTAATCTCACTCTTTCAAATCTGAGACCTTTTATATAAAATACTTCATTCTTCCAGTAAGCAGTCATCACAGAGTGTACAAGTTGTTTCAAGTTAGAGACAGAGCAACTGATGCTTAAGATGAAGAAAAGCATCTCAAATAGGCTTTTATAATGAGAAGTACTGTCAAATCAAGCAGGATGAAATGTACCAAATTCTTACTATAGAATATTCTGTCTACTTGGCTGCTATTAAATGGATGGGCCATCAGAGAAAGCAAAAGTCAGGAAATCTGTTTTGTATCTCCAAGAAAAGGTTTCCAGAAATCATTCAGTAAAGCCACATGTACTGTTTGATGAAGACTTTGCGTATGATTTTATGAGATGCCCGCACTAGTACCCTTTTTGGGAACGGAGAACTTTTGGGTCACAAAGCCCAGACATTGCTATCATAACCACCAAGTTGTTTATTCTCTTCCATTAAGGCAGTTGAGAGCTGCAACAGAAAAAAACCCGTAGAAAGCTACCCTTCACTGCTCCAGAGCTTAGCAACATCCTTCTAATTTCCTTCCTAAATATATTGCAGACCAATTTGTACTCACTTGCTCTTGAAATAGTAATAGCTTTCAGCTTAGGTATGTATCCCCACTTCTGCCACCCTCTGACCTTTTCAGGACAGGAAAAAGGGAAGAAGCACGTATACACTAGTTAGATGACAACTAAATCTCCTCAAGATTCAACAAAATTAAACAAGCCAAGCTCTTCTGGTCTTGTAAAAGAACTTTCCCCTCACCCTCCCAATAGACCCTCTCCCTTAACTCTATCGGTGCCAGTTTTTCTTCTGAGCCAACTCAGAAGCAAACTCTGAGTCCCAAAAAGAATTTCCAGACCCTGGAAACAAAAGGCTGAGTAGCAATCATTCCTTTTGCTGAAAGGAATTATGAAATCTCTTGGCACAGCATCACTAGAGCCACAGGCGATGACAACTTTACTACCGTTTTTAGTCAGTCTACTAGCTCAAATTGCAGAAGTTGGTACAACAAATCAAAAACTTTTAGTTCTACCCATACACTGCGTGGGTGCCTATCACCACCACGTTTATCATCAGCTATTTCAGTTTCCCTTAATAAAAAGCAATGTCAAAAAATATTCAAAAAAGATACTATGAAACTAAGTAATCAAATACTCTCACCAAACATGCAAGTAAGAAGTTTAATTAACACCATACAGGCACTCTTTGCCCTGGTAAATTCATAGCATGACTTCTCATTCCATAAACAGCATTCTGTACATTATTGCTTAAATTTTACATCCACACAAAATTGAATTATCAAAAAATAAAGCGAAACATACATACTAGAACGTGTAACAAGCAAGCTAATTTTTAAGCTAAGACCTTTCACTGCTTGGCTTACATCCACTTTAATTGCCTCAGACAGACAGAAAAAACATGCATCTAGTGACAATACAGTCCTGGTAATCTGCAGTAATGATTCTGAGACCAATCCTCTTCTACTGTGCTTTAAGCATTTCACCAGCAGGCAGGAACATCCTTTTTAAACCCTCATTAATGCACTCCAGCATAGGTTTTTGCATACAGTTACTTTTACAGAAGATAATGACAGCATTTATACTGTAACTTTCTTGTGATATTCCTTCATTAGAAAGATACTACTACACCTTAGAATTTGGAAGGAAGTTTTGCAAACAGAGAACCTATAAAATTTATATGAAGTGACTTCCAGATTGATTTAATTTTATGCCTTAAAATTTGAGGACTAAATGAGCCAACATTAAGAATACAAGCATATTTGACTTTTATGCAGTTTAAGAGATCTCTTTTCTTATTAGCAGACTCATTTCTAATTCAATAGGTCACAAAGTCTACCTAGCTAACGTTTAAACCATAAATATTTAATTAATATAAAGCTATTCACACGTAAGGATATTCAAGAGCAGGATTTCACAGGAGAAAAACCCCTGATGTACAAACACGCTCTCCCTAGTTTTAGAAGTTTGTCACAGACGTGTGACCAGTGTGAACAGCTATGAGCGTAATACAGCTAGAAGGACAGCTTGTTACCCTACTCTGCTCAGATGGGAGAGAAAAATCACCATTTTACTTCTACAGCAATTTATTATCAAAAGTCATCTAATACATATAACAGCACTAAGAACCGTACAACTGCACTCCTTCTGTAAATAGGAGGGTATATCAGCATAATTTTCATTACTTGTCCCAAGTGGAACAAGCTGTTAAATCCCTACTTTTAGCAAAAGAAGTGCCAATTAGTACAATACTTCTTTCTGGTTAGTTTTAGATAATTAGCTCACAGTAGGTACAGAAACTTCAGGTATTTGGGTTCTATTACGTAGATTTTTCCTTAAACCTTTACATTTGTTTCTATCATAAAAAACAGCTTCCCACATCAACTTCATGAACTCCATATGGCTTTTCCTGTTCACACTTCTCCACGCAGCCATTGAACGTTATAAACGAATCTAGTTAGGTGTAACTGAGGTGAAACATGCATACTCTAGGGCTCAAATAAGTAAAAACATCCTCCTTTTTAAAATCAGCTTTCAGTTAAGATTTCATGTTGGAGTAACAGCTTTTGAAGAAACTGGTGATTCTAGAAACGTCGGAATTTATCTAACAAATAAAACCAGAGTTATTCCAAAAAAAAAAAAAAAAAGGTATTCATTTATAGAACAACAGTAAACACCTCCAGTTTGTAACAAAGAAATAACTGAAGACTTTCTGTGCAATTAATAAGAAATTCTCCCTCAAATTTTGACTTAAAGCTGGCAAGAGCTTCTCAAGATAAACGAAAAGTAAATCTGGCATTTCACAATCTGCTGCAGAGAAAGTCTAGCATTTTGATATAACAATTTGGCCTCTGAGTAAGGCATAACAGAAGCTAACATTCATTTATGAATAGAACAGGGGATGGATGGTCACAGAATAATTAAAATGTAGAAAATAAAAAGGGGAAAGATCCTAAAAAACATATAGTGATGTCATCCCTAAGACTAAATAAGTTCTCCAGCGCTCTAGTTAACAATATTGAAAAAAGAAATGGGATATAACTTCTTGTTCCCATGAATACACTAGATTTTCCCCCTTTTTACCTACCGTTCAACTACCTTACCTTTCTTTTTCACAAGAGTCCTTTCCACAGTGCTCTCACTCCTAAATCAATGCCTTTCTAGCATAAAATATGTCTTTTCTTTTTTGATGTCAGACTGTTAAAACATTCATAGGAGAGCAATGAGTGCAAATATACTCTGGATAGCCAAAACCGAGACAGAAGAACTACATCATTTATAAAGTAAGGTAGCTAGCTAGCTTCATACATAAAGACACCTAATTCAACAACCTACGCTAAAACTCATTTCCATTTTGTTATTAGTTGCTGAAAGGTTGCAGAGTAAGAATTCTTTTGGATTTTCAGCTAAGAAATACTTGAAGACGCAGTTCTTTTGCCATAGCTCTGCATCAACATTAGGGCAATCACTGTCACACTCATTTAAAACTTTGTGATTGTTTAACTTAATTCTAGCTGACAGGATACATCACCTTTCCCAATTCCTTCTTTAAGGGATAACCATGAGCAACATGAACAGTCTCAAAACAAACTGAACCACATCAAGCAGTTTTCCTGAAGAGATTTATCAAGATGGTCAAACCCTACATCTGAATTCTCTCAAAGCAGAAGTGGTATCACCATTTCAGAAGTGATATTACCACTTCAGTGGAAATTATATTACCATTTCCAAACACAAGCTTTCTATGCACATTTGATTCAGATGCACATTGAAGACATTTACACCTTAAACTAAGATGTGAATGTCGCTCTGAACACGCAGTCTTTAAATAGCAGCAGTACTACAGATTGAAGAGTAGCTGATCAGGAGTAAATGCCTGACTTAATGAGCTGTTTAAAGGGCTTAAAAAAAAATTATCCATTAATAAATTTAGAGGTACACAGAGAGAAGTACAGTCATTGTTTCTGTCTGGGAGAACATACAATTGGGAAAAATGGAGTTTTCCTTAATTTGGATTCTGTGCTTTGACCGCGGCAAGTTAAAGACAAACTGTGCACATAGTAGTTTTATCAAATAAGTTATATGAGTCAAGAAATAAAAAGAAAAACTACTGAAAAAATTTTGAGAGGCAGACACCTAACAGCATCTACACCTTCAGACGTTAAAAGTAAGAGAGCAAGTAAAAATGAAGGAATACTAAAAAAAATTTCAGTTCACCTAGATCCCGAAAGAGAAAGGGCAAGAGAGAAACACTGCCATTCACAGCCACCCAAAAAAATAAATAATGGACCCTGTCAACTACTCAAGAAGAGTGGTTATTTGGGTGACAGAGACAATGGCTGTCAATACTGTTTTTTTTTTCCATTAACCATATTCTCTGCCTTGACAGACTGTAGTTTGGACTTTGAAAGCTAGAAGGTTCATCCTTAAGATACTCAATTACAGTAATAGTAAATGGTTGAAACTTGGGAATATCATACTGAGATGGAGACACTGACTTTTTTTAAACCGATGACATACACAAATAAAGTTAAGAAAATTGATACAGAAACAAAAATATGAAGTTACAATCTCTCTCTGATCTTCGGATGTTCCTGTAAGAGAACAGCACTCTTACAACTTCTATACAACACCAAACAGTAGTTCTTATAACTGTATTAAATATGAATAGCGAAACCACAACATTCTTAGAATTGAGGGAAGGATACATTAAGTAGCTGATATATCAAGTCATACCCAAATTCTTAAGTATGT